TATTTTATTTTGATTTTTATTATTATTTTAAAGCCACTATAAACAATACGGTACAATTGACACACTAATTATTCGTCAGGACCCGATTTTTGCAAGAAAATTTCTGTCGTGACCTGTTTTTTTTTTCGATCTATATATTGTCGTTGTCGAATACGTCTCGCGTATTTAGTTGGTGGTTTGTCAAAGGAATGAAACCAATGAAAACTAGAGCATTGGGTGCAAACATTTAAATGGCTGGAAAACGACAGATCCAAATAAATCTGGGTGTCGAGCAATTTGTAAAATCTGCACGAATGAAATTCATAGAATAGTTCAAAATACAGGCCGGTAAATAATATTTTGTTTTATTATTACTTATTTCTTTTTAATTTTGCTTTCCATATCGTAAAAGGTATGGTATTAACAAAAAATCATTTGGTATAAATTTATCAATTATTTTTTTAGGCACTCGAATGTCGCTTCACGGTTCTGCAACCTTTGTAAGTCTAAACCAAGAAGAGTTCTAAACAAAGAAAAAGATAAAAAAAACTGAAAATCAGCCTAATTCGAGCAGTTTCGTAAGGAAAAGATTGGCAAACAAATACCAAAGGCAATTTCACCAATCGGGTTTTGATAAAAAGAATATACCTTCCTTCTATCGTATCTTGTTCACTATTTACAGACTTTATCAAGGATATTGACGTTTTTGTAAATAGACAGTTTTTTTAAGCGTCTTGTTTAATGAACCCTTTGCTTATTGAACACATTCATACACATATTTCACAATTTTTTTGCGCAAACTTTGATTTTTATTATTATTAACAAAATCAATAATCATTGAATGTCGCTTGGCAGTTATGTAACTTTTTAAAATCTCCACAAAGTTGAAACAAAGAGTTCCAAACAAAGAAAAAGAAAAAAATGAAAATGAGCCTAATTTGAGTAGTTCCGCAATGCGAACACCAACATTTAAAAAAGAAAAGATCGACAAACAAATAGCAAAGACAATTTTTGTTATTAATTCGAGCTTTCGATACATGGAAAACTCTGAAGTAAAAAAAGCTATTCACACTTATTAAGACCTGGTTATACGCCGTCATCAAGAAAAACGTTATCAACAAGCCTTTAAAATATTTTTCTTCTCAGTCACGACAATATGTGAACATGTCCATATGGACTGAAGATGGACGAGCGCTTCTTTACGAAAAAAATTGATACTTCGGGAATACTTCGTACTTCACAATATTTGCCCTAATTTTTAATTTTTTTATGTAAATCACTGACTGCGAGGTAAAATCTATTGTGATAGATAATGCAGCACTCAAAAGTTATAAATATTTTGAATTTACTGTGCAAAGACTTGTAGTAAACATGTAGCCCAAATTGTTAAGTATTTTCGTGATAACCATGCAGCCAGGGCGAAATTCAGCCAAGCAGGAACAATGCTTCAGTCCTTCCGAGTGATGTGCGATGGAATAGCGTTGCTGATTGTTTAAAGATGTACGTCATTCAGTGTGATATATTATTAAAAATCTATAAAGAAAAAAACCAAATTGATTCGACCATTTACCAAAAGGTGGCAAATATTGGGCTTAAACATGCGGCACAAGAATATTTAAATATTTTAAAATCAATATCATTTGCTCTTGATAATTTGCAGATGCTGTAGAACAGTGGAAAAATTTACAATATGTTTTCGACAATATTGTAGAATTACCTTTATCAGAAATACAAAAAGTCAGGATCGACATAAGCAGGCACTCACGCCATATCAATTTATAGCCTATACAAACAATTAATAATTTATATGGAAACACTGGACTTTTGTGATATTTGTTGTGTTTTACTGTTTATTTATGACAATATTTTTACGTTGCCCCTTTTGTGTGTTTTTTAAAAAAAGTTAAAATGTATAGTGGGAATTGCGTAAAAAATTAATATCACCGGATCATAGGAGAAATTGCGAACAAAGGAATTGTGCAAAACGTGCCTTTAATTTCAGACAACTTGCATAATTTCTATAACCTAGTGGAAGATGTATAAACAACGGTGGTAGTTTGTAATTTTAGAATTCACAATTTTTAAAAAAGAACGATTTTCAAAACTGAGTTCCTTGAGAATCGGTAAATTGGGGAACTCTTGATGGGAATTGTGACCTAACAACCGAAACGCTTGTGTTCCGTTTTCGAGTGAAACGCGCGAAACGCTTGGAAATCGGCCATCAATTAGTTTTCTAATATGCGCGGGGCCAGGCGGCCGAAGGATGATCAATCAATCTGGCGCCTCCGCGGTCCCGAAATAACGCGATCAATGATAGAAATCAAGGCGTCCGTGAAATGACAGATCGTATTTTTAACTGGGCTTATCTAATCTGGGCAATATAAATAAATCTATACGCTTTTCAGGAGGAGCCGATTATTTTTTCGGTAAATGGGATTTCGTAGTTTTACGTAATTCCCGTATGAAATCGAAATGCTCCCGCCATATCGAATATCGTGGCGCCAAAATTTCGATCTACATCCGCACAGCGATAATTACATAGAATTTATAACGGAATTGGGGGAAATTTATATAAGGACTAGAATTCAGAGATGTGTGTGAAAAAAAAAGTGCTAAAGAAAATTCCGTAAAATCAGAAGCAGGCCTACTAAAACATAATATTCAAATACGGCGAGGATACGTGATCCTTTGGGAAATTGAAAAATTTGTCTAGATTTAACGAGTTGATGAGAATTCAGTTAAAGTTTAACATTACTACGCGAATTATATTATCAAACAATTTAAAAGTACAGTTATTCATAAGAATTCGGTTGTCTGATAAAAAACCGCGCCCATCCATAACAACTGAACAAAAACCCGGTAATAAGTCAGAATGTACGAAGAACAATTAGTTATTGTGTACACCAATCTTAAAAGCGGCTGGTAACTCAGTAAAAGTTGGCTTCAATACTTCGACATTATACAACTCTTTACGTGAGACATGATATTATAATTAAAAAAATTTGGATAAGTGCCTATTTTGGAAATCGTATAAAACGATTTTTAAAAATGCGTCGACATTTTTGCGCGCTGATGGGAATATGTCCGAAATTATTTATGAAAGGGGAATTCTGTAAAACGAAATTTTACTAAATAAAAAACCGCATCCGTCGATAAGAATTGTACCATATTAATAAAAATAAATAAAACCATTCTTAAACTCGAATGTTTCCCATTGAATTGTCAATTACAATTACTCATGGGAATTCAGTTATGTGTGAAATAATTTACGAATGGGAATTGTGCAAAAGGAGATAGGAATTAAATCTAAAAAGCCCAGTCTGTCGATAAGAATTGGGGCACATTTCATAAGAGGTAAAAAATATGTACAAGGAATTGTTATTGTGTGACACTCTTAAACGCGCCCAGGAAATGCGTAAAATTTGAATGTGTGACGGGAAATGCCCAACGCAGTATCTTCACAATGAATAAATTGAAAAAATGTTAACCGGGGAATTGCGTAATTTTTTACATATTTCGAAGAAACGCAAAAATAGTCGCATTTGGTTGTGGGAATTGAATAAAAAAAAAGTTGCCTCCACTTCGACGTTACCCGCTGTTTACGTGAGACGTGACTCCAGTTGGGGGTGGATTCGAGTTAACGTATCCTTCGAAAAACCTATACCGACAGCGAATGAAAATGACGCGGCGCGTTGGCCGTTTAGGAAAAACAAAAATACGCGGCGTCCTTTCGATCGAGAATTAACGACGGGTTTAGTAGGTGAAACCGGCGACATAGGTGGACGAGGGGGCCGGAGGAGGGGGCCCGCTTTCGAAACCAACGTTGACCGCCTGACGTAACCATCGCGGTCTGTCGCGCCGATCGGCCATCAACGTCGACGCGCCGCGGCTCTGCCCGTAATCTTGGCGCCAGCGTGCGAGCGTAATCTCTATTTTTACATGCCGGCGATGGCGGCAGCGTTGCCGCTTTTCGCCAATTTTCCCTATCGCGTTCTCGCGCGCCGTCCCAGCCGGCTTCGGTTTGCGCCCGAACCGGCAACGTCGCCCAGTCGTTTGGCGGCTATCTCACGGGACATTTTATTAAAGAAAAAAAAACACGGCGAGACGTAAAAGTCGCAATTGTTTTGCGCTGTCACCCGAGTCACATTCGACCGATATTTGACGCTAGATGGCACGGGTGTGCGACCGCAGAAAGCCCAATAGCGTCGCGCCACGTCACGAAATTCGGGGCGTTAACCAAAACACGTGACGCCCCTTTATTATAATTATTATAATGCTAAGCGTCGATTATAAAGAATTACTGTCGCTAAAAGGTCGGATCGAAATGACATCATTGCGGCTCGTTCTCTTCTTCTTTCTCTGTTAGTCAAGGTGATCATAACCGGGCGACGTTGCCGCAACGCGATTTTTCGCAGACCCTGTGAAATTTGCAGAACGACTTACAATAACACATAACAAATAACCACCAGTTGCGATATTAAATTGTTTGTTAAAATTTCCCAAAGCTGCACAAAATATAATGGAAATGGCGGTATCTAAGATTAAAAGAATACACCACAAAAAGCGTTTTTCCAGAGCAAGTTGGGATTAAAAAATTTCCGCCATTTTGCTGCGAGATTATTTCATCGAGGAAACTATTGGGTATCAAAATAATATAAAATAGTACCTGGTACAATACGGTTTTAATGAAATGAGACACCCTGTTATTATATCGGACGCATACACACGCGGCAACGTCGCATTCTCGTGCCGCCTATGGAGCTGCCCCCCGACGACGGTGGGCCCCTTCGGACCCCGGGGGTACGGTCTCCGGTACTGGGAGTGGTACCCGGTCCATGAGAGCGCTCGCGTGTATGTGTGTGTGTAATTTTAGAATATCATAACGTGTGTGCCGACAATTTTTATTCGTTAATTGGCCAGACTTGTCGCGGTTTCTGATTACGTGTTTCGGACCGGTTCTTTTTTTCCTTAAATTTTTTTCAAATACGTTTATAAAAATAGAAACGTCGCCCAATGCTTACCTCCACTTGTCGAAAACGAATCGTAGGAATCTCTCGTGAGTAGCGGCATTTCGCTAGGAGCTCGGTCTGGAACAAAAAGTTCTTTATAAATATCTACAATATTCTAAACAAAGTTTTTTTTTTATTAAACAGACACATTGTATTTTGATGGAGGAGAAATTGCAACAGAAAGTCTTAAAGGATTGTAGGTTGACGAAAAACATTCTTGAAAAATATAGATCTTGATAAGAATTGGGTTAAATGTGACAAAAACGAAGAAGACGAATCGTCGTACATCTTGGGTTTCTCAATGAGAGTTTATTGAATTGAGTCGTCCGAAGATTTCTTCAATGAAAATATCTTCGACTGACGCAGTAGTGGTTAAGAATGGATGTCATTCTAGGAGCCACTTAAATTGGTCTAAAACCCTGTTTGATAAAGCTTAAATATCTATTGGTTTAATTTAGCTTAATTTATAAATATCCCACACACACGCCTTTGTTTTGCACAATTTATACTCGATCTATTAGACTAACCTAAACCCTATTCATTTTTTTACTGCACGTCTGTCGGAGATCTGCGAGACAACATTTAGTATACTTGGATCGCTAATGTTCGATGTGTACCAGAAAAATCGTACTAAAATTATGGGACGCCGGAACCGGAAAAGACAACGTACGCGCATGCGCGAATAAGACGTCCACGCGCACACTGGCCGAATTTGGCCGGGTGAATGGTATATACACCGCTTTAGTGTCAACACATATCGACGCGAGAGGAGAGGCTTCCTTCCATTGATGACGCAACGGAGCGTAGGCCCGAAGGGGCCCCAAGAACGAAGAAATCCAAGCCGATGACCTCGAGGCGCGCGCTCGCGGCGTTGCCGATTCGCCGCGCCGCTTGCGCCGGTCGCATGCACGCCTCGCGGGAAATTTCGTTGGAGACGGCAACGTCGCCGATCGTTGTCAATGCACCTGCCCCGAGTCCGAGCGCCGTTTTCTTTTCTTCCGTACGGTAATGCACCGCGCCGCGCGTGATTTCTCTTTCTTCGTCCCGATCATCATCACCATCATCGTCTTCGTCCTTTTATTTATATTTACTTATAAATCGTTCTTCTTCTCCTCTGCCGTAGCGGTAAAACGGAACCGATGCGGTTGCGCATATTTTATAACTTGCACATTTGCATAACACGATTTTCCTCTATAGTTTCTAGTCTAGTCCAAGTTCAAAAAGTATATTATAACAATACGATTGTTTTTGAAGTACTGCCATTTCTTATCAATGACATAAATCTTAAAATACCAATTTTTGCGTATTTTAAACAACTGCACGATACGTTAGCATATTTTATATACGAGATGCATTATGCCAGGGCGTAATACATCGGCCTATTTTGTACAATATGTCGGCATATTTTATACTGCTAAAAGATTTGCGAACGGTTTTAGAACAGTTGCGAGATATGCCGGCGTGTTTTACAAAATTCGTGATAGTTCAGCATATTATACAATCGTCGGAATATTTTATACACGTGCTGTGGACAATGTTCTTGAAAGAGTTGTGTAATATGCCATTTTACACAAATGCGCGATATAATAGCATATATTATACTATTTTTAACACAGTTGCGTGATATGCCGCCATAATATTATACAGTTGCATAACAAGTCGGAATATTTAAAACAGTTGCGTGACCTCCAAGAGTGTTTTATAAAATGCATCAGTATATTTTATAGATTTTTGTGATATTCCGGAATATCAATATATTGATATATTGATGCGCATATTTTATAAAATTAATATAATTAATTCTTATATAATAGATGACTAGCAATGTAAAAAATCCACTAATTTCCTATTGTGGTAACCGTTTTTGTGCATTTTATCTGAAATTATTTATATTTTATCAAAAAAGTTAGCATGCATTGAAATTGATGTATGGTTTTTGTTACGAGCGACAAGTACGGATGTTGGCCCATGTAGGTGATTCGTTAGCTAATTTAAGTTATCAGTTGTTTATCAAAATCGACGGCTTTTGAACGGTGACCTTGAAGGTCGTTTGGAGACACGTAATGCACACGGCAAATCCCCGATTATAATTCGCAAACACGTTTTTCGCCGTGTTAACGCCAAATTTCCCGATAACTTATCTCTTTTTTTTTTAATTCGTTTATCTCTTCGCACATTTATCGAATCATTCGAATATACCTATATATTTTCGGGGCATGAAATATACCGTACCATATTTTATTATCAACAAGAATCCGGTTCAAATTCCAACGCGAAGGACCGCTTAAGCATCCGAGTCACGTTCGGAACTATTTCCGAGTCCAATGCTTGCTATGCCTTAAGGCGGAGCCTGAAGAATCGAAATTTCGGGTTTTGTCAACAGTCGTGCCAACGGACTTCAGTTCGTTTCGTCAGAGAAAACCGCTTCTAAGTCAACGGAAATATTGTATGGACGATAAAGGTTAACAATTTGAACCGGCTCGAGCTCTTTGACGTCAAAGAGAAAGAAAACTGCATTTAGTTGGAAGAGCAAAGGCCGCCCACTACTAAATCTAAAAGTGAGCGTGGATGACAATACCGAAAGACAGAAAATATCCAAATATCACAGTTGCGCAAGGTCGAGAAGATTCTTTAAGTCGATGATAAACGAGAGAGTTCGAATTAAACAATATTCGGTCGAGACCAGGTGTTCTGTACATGGAGTGTTTAACAAACACTTATTAAATGGTACCCTCACGCACAAACAGAAACACAACAATCTAGTCACTCCTTCGGAGCTTTCTTTGTCGCAATCATAGCCTAATTCTCAACGACTGGGTGCACTTGTAAGTGCGAACCCTACCAACATGACTGACAGTCTCATTCTTTATCGTGCTGGCTTTTGCCTGCAATTATGGAAGTTCCCTGCCGATGGCAATAAAACTCGGGTCCATAGGTATTAAAGGACAGAACATTAGACCTAAAACAATATACCCAGCCTGTTCAGCCCAATTAATTGGAAGTGAATTAAGGACTTTGTAAATTAATTCAAAATAACAAATATTCCTGCATTTCGCTTGAAAAACTTGATGCGATTGGTGCTTTGCGCAGTAGACGGCTCTGGTGGCTTGCATTACCCATGACAATAACACTGTTATTGGAAATATTTTTTAAAAGATTATTTTGAAAGTTCTACACTTGTATACTCTTGATAATCGTCTTCTGACCGAGATTGTATTATGGTGATACGCTTTCCTTTATTTGAAGGCGCATTCGTCTGACAGTTTTGAGTGGAATCAACCCGTTTTTTGGATATAGTGTCGGGTGTATCGAACCATGTTTCATTAAGGTAAATTATGGATTTGTTGTCTAATCTATAACTTTTCATTTCTTTAAGGTAATTTAATCCCCAAGGAAATGCGTATAACAATTGGCAACGCTGTTTGAAATATATACTCTAGCCATCTTATTGGGAGACTTAAAATCCTTTGGAAGGATCATGCACTTGAAAAGTTCCATTGGCGTTGTGACGTAAATCACCCTTCGTCGCCTACAGATGCGGCAGGCCCGTTAAAAAGATGTACGTGACAGCGTTCTCTTTGCAGTTACCCAGGCAAGGCACCAAACGTATCGTATTGCAACAACAACACGCACACGCACGAATACACACACACATTCGAAATATAAACAGTTGCTGTAAACATCGGGGAAAGATAAGTGTTATAGAGGACGATGAAATTATTTCGCGTTTCGACAAATACAGAAGTAATCGGTTTAGTGCAACAATAAATATATATAATACGATATTGTTAATAGTTTCGGTTTGATAAGAGGGAGGGACGGCGTATTCGCGATTCGCTAATCGCGTCGCAACGGCGGATCACGTCTATTTTTACCGAGACGTTTGTTTTGGCAACTGCAGCGCGCTGCCAAGACCGAGCAAGCGTGTGTGCGTGTGTGTGCGCGCGCGCGAGAGAGAGGAGTTGACGAAATCGCGAAAAAAACAAATTCGATATCATTTATTTCACTCGGAAATTTTCGAACGAGGTCGAATCGGACGACCCCGTAGGCCGAACCAATAACGCCGCTTCCCATTTCTCTCAGTTTTCACGCGGGTTCTTTGTTTGAGTTGGACTAACCGAACGGAACAAATTCCTGGATATACTTTGCCAGAGAGGTGCTTCGGCTCAACTACGGAAGCAGGAGAGTCTTCTTCTGCTCGGATAGTAGGGCTGCACTCATGGCGCTGAAGTCAGTGCGTACGCGCTCCTTGTTGATGAAGGAGTGCAAAGGGGTACTGAGGAGGGTGGCTGAGGAGAGAAAGGTCACGTTGGTCTGGGTCCCGGGTCACACCGGTATCCGGGGCAATGAGGCATATAGGGCCAGAGCCCCGCTTGGGGATCGCCCCGTGTGTGAGGCGGGGAGCTCTCGAAGCCTGGGCGAGAGACCGGGCCGCGGGGGGCTGGAGAGTTGCTCCGGGAATGAGGCAGGCGAGGCTTATGATGGATGGGCCCGCCCTTCCTCGGACCAGGGAGCTGCTTGGACTGACCAGAAGGGAGTGTAGAGCACTAACAGGGGCCTACACAGGACATTGCAGGCTTAGGAGGCATCTTTGCTTGCTAGGCATTGGAGACGACCCGGAGTGTAGGTGGTGCATGGAAGGGGAGGAGACCCCGTATCATCTGCTCACCGAGTGCCCTGCCTTGACATGGGCAAGATTGAGAGTCTTCGGAACGGCCCTGATCGATCCGGACTCAGTGCACGGTATTGGGCTAAAGGAGTTGCTGACTTCTACAGGAGGGGCGGCATTCTGGACGCCCTCTAGAGCGGCCTGGGGGCACAACGGGCCCATCTGGTGGCCTAAGTGCTTGGACGCCCGCGAGGGCGCCCCTCTTTAATACCAATACCAGTACCAATACCTGGATATACTGACTAAGCTTGGCTCATAGATTGTTGTGAGCAACTGCACTATCAAAAACCCAGCAAGAAATTGACATCATCCGGGACGAAAGGGCTTGTCATCTCGATACCGATCAAAGAGCATCCTCCGTAAATGTAAGAAGAATGTGGAAGGATTGTGCACCTAGTTCTTAGCGTAG